TAATTCATTGCTAAAACAGTGAACTACTAGTATCCCAGAAGACCAATTCATTGCTAATCTAGTGGACTAGTGGACAAGTATACTAGCTGTAAACCCAATTTCATATCAAATCAGTTGAAACTGAAATAAACATGAAACCAAAGACTGAATCTTCATGTAAATTGATGAAAAAAAAGCTTCGGATATTGTTAAATAAAAATTCTCTTACACTGTTACTGTAGTTGTAATTATTGTGAAATAGTGACAAAAATGATCTACTTTCATTATTAAACATTTATGCAAGTGTCCCTGTTAATGATACAATTTATGTCAATGTTGTCATGGTGGATTGCTTGCCATTGAGTTACATTGGTTATACATTTGCATACTGGTTGGCCAAAATGTAAACATTGCAGTGTCACAGCCTATACATTCAAACATTGCTTACACAAATCTGTGCAATTTTTACACTGCAGTAACAATGTATGGCTTTTATGCTTTCAAAAGCTTTTTTCTTCTTCATTTTTTTAAATAATATAGATTTACCTATCCATTGCAATTTTATAGTATTACAGAAGATGCAAACAAAAACATAACTCCACTCGCCCAATGACCTCAGAGATTCAGTACTAATGTTTTTATTTATTAAAATTTTATAAATTCACAACTTCATTCATTTTAGTAATACTGAAATGGCATAAAAATATAAAATGCATAGCACTGACAATTCAAATAAAAGTAAAATAATAAATGTACAGAGCGTTTTTATTTTTTTTTACAAATTTGTATAAATTCACATTTAGAAAAATACATGGTTCATAGACATTTTAGCAATATTGAAAAAAAAGAACAGAACTGAAAATTGTAAATGAAAAAAACAAATGTATTCAATGCAAGTTTAACCAGAATTCTCAAACAACCAGGTTTTCGTTGTTGGAGGCAAAGCACACACAAGAACTTTTTGGGGAACTAAACATTCCTATTTTATAAAACAATTGTTGTGTTCATTGTTAGTGTTTTTTTTTAACATCATATAACCTGTTACAAATTAGCCATGGTTTACACAAATACTTGTATATCAAAACATTTTGTACAAAAATTGTAGCGTAATCATCAAACTTAAGCATGTGTGCAATGGAGAATCAGTAAAATTGTTTATTTTACCTGTTATTAATTTTCACTGAAAAGACTTTTTGAATGGTATTTATTTTTGATGAGTTTAATGTAAAATATGGTATACTCACTGGATTGTATTTCTACTGAATCATCCATTCAGCGGAAATAAATTCTAAGCAAAAATAAACTATTTTACAGTAGTAAGACTATGTTGTGATGGTGGTCAGTGTATCACGTCGGTGATGATTGAGTCATTTAAGTCATTGAGTCATTTTTGAACACCAACTTTTGTCACCTTTATTGCAAAATAACTTGCATAATTTTGTTCATACTCTCTCAAAAATTCTGATCCAGACTTCTTGTGAATGTGCAGAATTTTCAGTCCCTCGCAATTTTGGCATGGATTCAGAAGGTTAATTTGAATCTCTAAGACTCATTGACTTTATCAAAATGACAAATGGCCAAATCGTAAAAATTTTAAATTAACTGATTTACAGTATCTTTGCTTTCACTGAGGCAAATTAAGTCAACATAATACGAGACCGGTCATTTTTTGAACGTCATGATTTTTTCCACACACAAACATTTTCCACATTTTTTAACTGCAGTTTTTTTATTTACTTTTGTACCAAATAGACGTAAGTTCTTTTTGTCTACAGAAACAAATTCAAAAACAAGAAATATAGTAAAACATTACGCAGGTTTAGCGAAAGGAGATGAAAGTTATCTTTGGCACTAAACAGTTACAAATGTTTTAAAACAGATTTCGAATTGACAGTAAGAAAACAAATAATCAGTCAGGCAGAGTATATGTTTTCATACCATATCACCAACAACAAAAACTTGAGAATTGATTGTTCTCATACTACTTTTTTAGATAAATCTGGGCATTGTAACTTAAACAGGCAGCATAGAACAAACAGCAGTAAAATGAAAACTCAACGTAACTGGATCCTAATTTAAATACTATGAAGAAGTACATGTTTGCAAACAGTTCAAGTAAAATGGGTTGATTTGTTTTTAATAATTTAATGAAGTACAGTATTTCCTCATTTATAACTACATGTGTATATAACATTGTGAGTTTTCTTGATGACTAAAGGGAGGTAGTCGTCGTGCTGCGCATGTGTGACATTTGTGTTGGCAAACATTGATGTTCTCACAACTAAATGCACTCTTCTAATGGAAATCACAAGTATGAGGTTTGGCATGGGCACGTCTTGAACTAATTACCGCCGGTGACTTCTTTGATACCTTCCAATCACCTAAAAAAAATACCTAATTAAAGCTTAGTAACGTATCAGTTTGTACTCGTTGATCTACGTAACAATCAAGGTCGCCATCTTTGTTTATATGGGACCCATACTACCGCCCTTTAATATGACTTTGACTGATTTACATATTTAACTTTAATATACTGATAATTACAGTTGTTACCTTAGAACTTCAAGCGTAACTGTGGTCTCAAAAGTTCATACACTTCTGTAATTTTTAAAAAATTTACTCATTGTTCTGATTGTTATCAATTTTGAAACATTGTAGACAACCAGCAGACTAGGTGTCGCTAAAATATACATCACAAACACTTTTGATTATGTAATCAAAGTTTAACTACTGCCATGTACACTGTCAACATCACTTCGTCAATGCCTTGAAACATGGAGAATGCACGTCAAATGCATGTAAGCAAGAAACATTCTGTGATATATTTTACAGAGAGGCTATTTCTAGACACATTTCAAGATTTCTATGATAGCACAATGTATGGTCACAATACTTTGAACTGTGTCCACTGTATAGACATTTTCAAAGATCAGATTATAGTTTGATTTTTTTCATGCATGTAAACCTTAGTGTATGACATGATGACTCAACTTTGATCACACTGGGTAATCTGCCTGTTCAATCTACGCTTTGTCTACAATGTTGAAAAACAATCAGGACAACATTTAATAAATTCACTAGAAAAGTTAGGAATCAATTACAGAAGTCTATCAAAATTACAGACAACATGTTTGCTCGAAGTTCTGTTGTAACAACTGTAACATGTGAAAACTGACACCAATGAAATAAGTTTAGGTTGGGGGCCAATAATTGAGTCTGACATAACTCTAAAGAATCAAAAATAATCAGTGATTTAATCTCCTCAATTAAGATGGAAATATATTGATAGTTGTTTCAAGAAAATTTTATAAAAAATTTATATTGTGACTACATGTATCTGTTGTTACCATAACAATGAATCAGGAAACAAAATAGAATACAAGATGTGGCAAGACTTCAAAATGTAAAAATATCATCTAAACAAAAACATAATTTTCAGTAGTACAAAATTTATTTTTTATAAAAATTATTAATTTCACAGTATTTTATATTTATTATTATACATCTGTCGCCGTAATGCCATAAGTTACAGTGTGCCGTAATTTTGCGTTATTTTATGGGGTATTTTCATCCTATCATATTAGGAAATGCAAATTCCAAACATGGAATGATTAAGTGCGTAAGCGTCCTTTAATAATGAAAACAAACATGGCTGCCACCAGAGTTTGACCGGACTCCTTGCAAAGAAGTTCGCTGATTCTGTTCTAAACATTTTGAATTTCGGCATTCCCATGGAAAAGATGTATAATAATGAGGTTATTACGAGAATGCCTCAAAGTATGCACTCAGACAGTATGCCACGTACGCATCAGCCTCCGCTGCGCGTCGGTCGATACCTGAGCTGTACTGTCTTCGTGCATACTTCGAGGTATTCTCGTAATAACCTTATATTCTTGCCACAAGCCAAGAGATTGCTGACCTGCGTGATTGTATTTTTGGTTTCTAATTGCAACTTATTGTAAATGTTTGGCATAGTTACAACAAATCATGAGCAATAAAGTACAGAAGTTTTTGCTCTGTCATACTTGATATGATTCCCTTGCATCAGATGGAAAATAATAGTTTGTTAACATTTCAAGTGTCAGATATTTTTTCCACCCAAATTTAGTGCAAACATTTTCACATTTTGTGAAATTGTCACTAAATTTCATCATAATTTTGGACCATACAGACATATTCAGATATTGTTTTTAGTTTTTGATCAAAAAGTTAGTCAATTTTTACCATGGTGTACCATTTCATGTGGGGAGAAGCAAACTGCACACAATCATTTTGTAGATGGTGCCCAAGGTTGAAAATGGTGCCCAAAAGTTTAAACATGCATGTTCTCTGACAAATGAGATGCTTGGAAAAAGTTTCATGAGAATTGCATTTTATTTAATCAAGTTGTAACCTTTTAGTCAATATTTCACAAAGTTTTCATGTATTAAGCTGAGATGATAAAATTTACCCAATTTTGTTCCTCAATAATTGCCATGAATTATCAAGTCTTGCGAAAATACTAGTATTTATAATAGCAAAGCTAGGAGGTCTTAGGAGCCATCAGATTGCAGCTAAAGGGTACTGTATATTATTAACTAAGCTTTATTTCTGCTTTACTTTCCCGACAGGTAAATGTGCTGAATTAAATCCCAGTGAATATGCAAAGTTAGCCACAAACTGTATCATTTTCCCCCACAAACTAGTGAATTAAAAATCCTAGTGAATATGGCTGCAACATCAAACATGCAAATATTAAACCCAGTGAATATTTCTCCTTCCACAGTACTACTCAGATACCAGAAATAAGTATGAAGTTAGATTCACATCTCAGATTCAGGTCAGATGAGGAAATAACAACACAACACATACTTCTCAAAGATTGTGGATTATTTGCAGGACATCTATCTAAATGTCTATAAGCTAATCCACAGCTGGGGTGGGATTTTTTTTTTACAGATAGGGATTGGGTGGTTGTGACAGATAACCACAGAGCAGTGAAATTCAGATAATACCTCTGCAATGTTTGTTTGATACCTCTTTAGACTGAACAAGATTTTTGATTTTTGAATCAGATTCTGGGGTTCTGAATATGAGGCTCGAGTCACAGGTGAGCTTCATGGCCCATAGGATGCATTGGTTGTCATCATCAGAAAACTAAATGTTAATTTTTATCATTTTGACATTACCGGTAGTATGTAAGGGGTAGAGCATTTGATATCCTGGGGGGGTGTGGGCAGGAAGATTTTGTAAAAAAGAAAATTCTATGACAATGCTTGAAAAACAATCCTACACTATATGTATTTAAAAATTAGAGACAAGGTGTGCCGAAAAAAAAAATCTGTATCAGATAGGGGAAAAAAAGTAGGCTTCATTTCAATCTTCCTGTCCCCCAGGATATCAAATAGTCGGCCCCTAACTAAAGACAACAAACAACCACTTTATCTGTGAGCATCATATTCATCTCCTACTGTATTAGACCCCCTAAGTCCAGCATCATTTTCCTCGTCTTCATCTTCCTCCTCCCCCTCTTCTTCCTCTTCATCACCACTCAGTAGAATATCCACCTCTTCATCATCATCATCATCCCATTCATCACTGGACGTTGTCGCCACAGACTCTTCTGATGGACTCGGTCCAAGAAGTATGAATTCCAAACCCTAACAAACAAAAAGTGTAAATTTATTCATTTTATCCTGATCTTTTTCATCACACTGCTTATAATTCTCAGTTTAATATTCAGCAGGTACAACTCAAGACTTTTGAAAAATACATAAAAGTTCTATGCACAAATTTTGACTTTAACTCTTGACTGCAAAAATATTTTAAGGAAAAATTAGTCGCTATGCAACCATGTGATGTTTACTTCATTGTGACAATATGGTAATTTGTAAGGCAGATATTCTAAATTACATACAAGAGATATAATATCAATATATTTCAAATCTGTGCAAATTTTTTTTCAACCATACATTATGGACAGCATATATTAGAAAATACTGTCCAAAATTTAGACTTAGTTAGTATTCCAACCAGAAGTATGTGCTTTCTTCATCTACAGCAACGGAAAATATAAAATCATGTACAGTTAATTTATACATTTGGTCCTTGTGAACCCCATCACATTTTCATTGTATTGAAAATAATAAAATAATTCATTGGTCTGTGCTTTATTTTGTCTTAATTGTCCACCTTTAACATTTTTTTACCACTTTTCCCAAAAAAAGATGGAAAGCCTTTCCCAGGAAAAAATTGTCAAAAATAATGCACTGTAATTAATGCAATTTGATATTGAGATAATTTCCCTGCTAAATGTTACTTACCTTCCAATGAGGTGGTCTACTAGTCATGGGATTGTCTCGCAAATCTAATTTAGTGAGGCGTGAAAGACCGATTAACAGTTCATCCGGTAACGTAGTGATATCGTTGCCTTGTATTCTAAGAGATGCAAGAGTCTGAAGTTCGCCTAAAACTGGCGGCACTTGGTCAAACGCATTGTGGCTAATATCGAGATACGTCAAACTGGGCAACCGTCCAAAGCTATCTGTTAGTTCTGATAGATTGTTCCGTGCCAAACTTAGCCATTGCAAGCTACGCATCTGATGGATCTCTTTGGGTAAAGAGCTGATTGCGTTGTCTCTAGCACCAAGTTTCTGTAGATTTCGCAGAAGACCGGTCTCCGGGGGTAGGTTTATAAGTCCAGTATCAACTACCCATAATTGGATCAAGTTGACTAAGTCGCCGATTTCTGGCGGCAGGAAAGCGAGCTTGTTATGGCTAATATTCAGATAAGATAAGTTTTTCAGACGACCGAACCCAGTGGGTAACAGAGTGAGATTGTTGTTATCGAGAGTTAAGACTTGCAAATTTTCTAGTTCGATCAGTTCCGTCGGCGGCATCAGTAATTTGTTATCGTTCAGCAAAAGCCTTTTGACAAATACCAACTTCTGAATGCTACTCGGAAGAACGGTGAGCTCACGATGGCTCAAGTTTAAAACATCTTGTTGTCCATCCCTAGCCGTTTTTATGAGCTCTTCTAGTTCCGCAGCATTCATTTCGTACACTGTGCTGACATAATCTAATTGAATGTGATCGAAAACATCAAAATGAGTGAAAACAGCGTTGATGCATTACTATGGTTTCACCACCTGTTACTGAACTCCGCCATCTTTTGAGACCCCTCAGCCAACGAATGGAAACAATGTTGACCGCTTAGGTCAGACATGTTTTGGTAACAGAGGGACCAATGAATGATCGAACCAAGGTAAGTTGGAAAAAACAAACAGGGAGAGCGGATATTAAAACTACTAAATTACCCCCACAATCTCCAGAAAAAAAATTTGGTAAAATGTGTTTATGTAAAATGTGTTTCATTAAATTCTTTACCTATTTCCTTTAACCCCCAGATTATGAAATGGAATGTTTCTTGGATAATAACAAATGACCTAAAGTAGGGT